TAAATATTATTTGCTATCAATGGATACAGAAAAATTATGTTGGATATTGACCTCATATTCTATGCCAAATAAATCTTTGTAGAGCAAAAATGAACATAAGAGAAAAACACAAATGTATTATAAGACATATAGGTAAAAATAAGAAAAGAAAATGGTTAATAAAAATGCCACAAGTATTTACCTATCAAATAAATCAGCAATGATAAAAACAATTCCAATAATCAGAACTGGTGAATGCATTGGGGAAAATGGGCTCGTATATTTCTGACAGAAAAAAAAGCAGGTTAAATTCCAGAAAAAAAATTATATCTATCACTAGGTTTGAAAATATGTATAGCTTGGACTTAAAGACTGTAGTTTGAGCTTTATCTTACATAAACATTGAGAGAGATACCCCAAGATGTGTTAGCAAGGATATTCATTGCACAATATAATTTGCTTTTTAAAATAAACTTTTTATTGAAGTAAAATCTATGAGATACCTTCATAAATCATTAGTTCATAGTCTGATGAATTATATTTCATTCATGTAACCACACTGAGATTAAGAAATAGAATATTACCAGTATTTCAGAAGGCCACATATATTCTCTACCAATCACTGCCTTCCTACCATCCTAGAGATGGCCTGACATTTAATATTATAGATTACTTTTGCCTGTTTTAAATTTTATAAAAATTGAATTATATAGTATATAACCTTTTGTACCTGGCTTTTTTCATTCACTATTATGCTTGACATAATATGCATGCATGTGAGATTCACGTACGTCATTAAGTGCAGTACTACTAACACACTAGTTTTAATGGCTATACAGTAGCATATTAGATGAATGAATATTCCAAATATTATTTACTGATTCTTTAAGCTGGCTATGGACTTTGGATTGTTTCTAATGCATGCTGTGATGAATAATGCTATTATGAACACACTCATGTATGTCTTCTTACATATGTTAATATAAGAATGAAGTTGCTGAATGTGCATATATTCTGATAGGCTAGATTACTGCCAGTTTTCTAAAGTGGTTGTATCAGTTAACATTCTATCATAGTATAGGAGAATTCTAATTGATCCACACCTTTGCCAACCATTTATAATTCCAGTCTTTTAAAATTTTAGCAACTCTGGTGGGTGTGTATTGTGATCTCACAGTAGTTTTAATTTGAATTTTCTTGATAGCTAATGAATATGATATGGCACATTTTTGAAGTGTTGGTTCATGTCTTTTGCCTATTTTTCTTTGAATTGTCTATTATTTTTTTAAACAGGGCTTTGCTCTGTTGCCAGGTTCAGTGTGCAGTGACTTTACCATAACTCACTGTAACCTCAAATTCCTGGGCCGAAGTGATCCTCCTGTCTCATCCTCCCGAGAAGTTGGGACTACAGGTGTGCATCACCAGGCCTGGCTAAGTTTTGTTTTTTTTTTGTAGAGATGGGGTCCTGCTATTACCCAGGCTGGTCTTGAACTCCTGGGCTCAAGGGATCCTACCACCTTGGCCTGAATTGTCTATCTTTTTCTTATTAATTGCTAAGAGTTCTTTATATATTGAAATATGTCTTTTATAGCTTAATGTTTTGTAAATATCATAATCCTTATGGCTTATATTTAGTTAGTATTATCTTATCACAGAAAAGTTCCTAACTTTAATACAGTACCAGCTGTCCCTTCCCTTTCTCTTTTCATTTGTACTTGGATATTTTCTCTATAATGTTTGTGAGCCTATCAGAATATATGCACATTCAGCAACTTCATTCTGATATTAATATACGTAAGGAGACATACATGAGAGTGTTCATAATAGCATTATTCATATAATACATATACAGATTCTAACCACTTGAGGTACAGCTGCTAATTTTTAAATCAGTTTCTATAGATAAAATATTATGTTCATCCATATTATTTAAATTTATCTCACACACTTGTTTAACTGTATGTTAACTAGGTGGGCTTGCCTATAACTTTCTTGAGAGCAAGGATAAGGCCCATTTTCTTTTGTATCCATAGCACCAGATGACACACATAATGCATAGACACACAAAAACTATGAGTAAAAGGCTTCTCAGTTGTAGATTATTTAGAGTATTTTTGAGGCTCACGGACACTAGCCTTGCTCTCTGAATTTCTGTAAGACATCTAAACACAAATACTGATTTTTTTGACAATCTCTTTATAACTCCAATATCTTTGTACTTCCAAAGTTGCCATAGTCAACTAGAGGCAAAAATAATGCGGCCATGAGAATGGATCAAAATACACAGATAGGGGCTCAGAGTGATTCACTGAGATGGCCTTTTTGGGTAGTACAATGAACAGTCTCACAAACATTCCAATAGATTGAATGGTGAACTCCTACATCCTGCAACAAAACTTGACAACTTTGCTAATAAGTAGCAATGCAACTTTTCAATAAGCTGTTTCATCTCTTGGAGGTTGAATTCTCATTTTCAAAGTGGAGTCATTAATACCTAAATTCCATGATTGGTGTGAGGATTCATGAAAGAATATATATAAAGAAATAAAACACTAAATGACATTTTAATATATGGAAATTATTATAAGTTAATATTGTTAAAATTAACTAGACTATATGGTTAGATATTTAAATTGCTTACATTGTTTCAGCAACATAAATAATATATTCTCTACTGTGCAATATCCTAAATTATGTTCCTAGATGTAAATTTTTGGATCAAGTAATGAAAACACATTGAACTCTTTTGCACAAATTGCCAGATGGCTTTCCAAAAAGATTGTAATGATCTATATCCTCCTCAGTATTGTGTGTGACTTTATAACTGCAGATACTTGTCAATACTGTGAGTGATATATGCCTACAGTATTGTTAAATAAGTGTAAAGTTTAATTTTGAATTTCTTTGGTCATGAGTATAAGTTATTTGATATATTTGTGTTTCTTCTGCTCATTTACTTTGTTTATTTTTTTAATTTTGGCACCCTAAAGTTTTATTTCTATGGCATATGTGCACAGCGCAGAAATCAACACTTTGTCACCAGTCTTACAAATATTTTCAGTTTGTTGTTTGCCTTTTAATATTGTTTTTGACATCTAGAAGGTTGGCATTTTTATGTATTCAAATATATTATTTTTCCTTTTTGATTTCTGGTTAGTTTCTCACCATATGAAAGTTATATAAATGCTACATTATATTTTCTTTCAGATATTATGGTTTTGACATTTTAAATTTATTACTTCAATCCATCAAGAAAGTTGAACAGTAAAGACTTAATATTCACTTAACTGTAGCTGGAATTTT